AATGAAGAATGAATAATTTTCTGCTCATAGCTCTTTTTATGAGTCTAGGGAGTAGGGACACCTTACATTATTGACGGGCAGTCTAAGAGAAAAATAAACAGAAAATATGATGACACACTTTTTTTAGATTCAGAGTATTGAAGAGAGAGGAAATTAAAAGCATGAGTGAGAATAATGTAGTAGAAGAAACAGCTTAAAACCCTAATAAGCTAGATAAGACTTCACATTAACTTTCCCCTGCAATAAGGCATGATGGTTGAAATGTCAGTTGGATAAAAGATTAAGATCAGTTGGTCCCAAGTGACAAGCCATTTAATTTCCTTGCTAACACTTCTAATATGAGTATAATAGCTTAAAACCCTAATAAGCTAAATAAGACTTCACATTAACTTTCCCCTGCAATAAGGCATGACGGTTGACATGTCGCTTGGATATAAGATTAATATCAGTCGTTCCTAAGTGACAAGCCATTTTATTTCCTTGCTAACACTTCTAAAATGAGTATAATAGCAAAAATGTTCTTATCTGGCCTAAGAATCACCATGTATAGATCCCTATTTTTTTAACTAAGCTTTACCTAATAAAACTTAACAAATAGGCAATTACATCTAAATAATGGTGATAGATGTCAAGAATGATACCTAACTGATGCTTAAAATGATCTTGGAAAAAACCTACAAAGTTAAAATAACTCCCTCTAACCTTTTAACACTTAACATTAGCTCTTTTTTTTAGTATCCTAAAATTTTCAAAATTTTCCAATGCTTCCATTTTTTCCCTTAACTACGGGCTTCTATCCCTTGGTAAATTGTTTCTATTAAAATACTACACTTTACATTTCTCCTTACATCACATCAACTACTACTTCTCTAGTTCCCTGTGTTTTGCTACTTATCACATCAACTACCCATTAAACATCTTTTTAAATTTTCTCTCTTTACTTTACCTACTTTTCTTAATACGTGTGTCTAGGGCTACAATGAATTTGGTGTTTGAATGGAGGAAGGAATATCTTGACCCAATCATTGACATAGGTGAAATCCATATAAAAAGGGACAATGGGAGTTGTTAAACTAATAAAGCAGGATACTCTCGATGCTTTGCTGGGAACTATTGAGCTTGGCCAGCTTATCCACTAAGATCTGAGAATTAAAAGCACTGCCCATGGCTTCCAAAGAAAATGTGTCGAACCTTCCACAATACAGGTCCTTTTACAAATGCACCCTCTGAAAAGAAAAATGAAGAAACACAAGCTCATCATCAGAGTCTTGGAAGTTAAACAAATGTAACAGAGAGTTTTGAATGCATCACAAAACAACGAAAAAACATAATATGAAAAAAACATCAATTTGCAAAACTACACACTGCTGTTCCTACCATTGAAAGAATATGAGTAACACGCATGCAGTATTCCGCAATATGATGTGCTAGTCAATGTTTCTAAATGCGGGAAAAAAACTCTTGTGACATGCTCAAATAAATGTGTTGGGATCCAACATATCCCCAATCACAAATTGAGTATTGTGGCTTTTCAATAAGTTTCCATGTTTATTAGTCTCATGTAATGTAGTTGTTTCTGGCATCTCGAAAAAAGAAAATTACCATATAGGTAATAGGTATGTGTTAAATTAAACTCCCTTTCAAGTAATTTAACTGGTTTGGATCACATCCCCGCTCCAGATCCACAGACCAAATGTAACAAACATGACATCTAGAACAGATGTTTATAAAGTAAGAGCCTGTGAGTGTGAGATCTAACTATTAAAGTGGAAAAGTATTGCTAAAATAAGGAAACAAATCACGCCAAAATAACTAATTCCCACAATGAAAATATTTACATGGTAATTGTAACGTTATTCATTGGGATAAAAAGATTAAGAATTTGCGCTCTAACTAACCCCAAATTCACAATTTATCCTGCAATGCATATCCGTTAAAGGCTCAAAAACTTTCCTGGAATGAAGGGCTTTTTAGCTTATGCCGTTACTAGCAAAATTGTGTTTAGCATCTAGAGAAACAAAGAGATATTCAGGCTACCCAACAAACCCGTGAATTGGCCGTAACTGAAACCACTTGCAGAAAGATCATGGCTTTTAAGAGTTAATACAGTACAAATACACGTATAACCCTAAATTAGCGACGAATGGTGAAACCCTAAGGCGGGGGATAAAAAACAGGCACATCAAATTGGGAAGAGAAAATCAGACGACGAACCAGGCTATGGCGAATTGTGGTGTCGTCAGCTCATCGGCAAAGGAGAATTCGACCGGTTCCGCCGGGGAATTGAGAGCACGACGGCGGGGGTACCCTACGCTGTGATTTTGGGATTGAAATTGGGTAGAGTTGACGAAATTATTTGACGACTATTTGAAAGCTATGAGAGTGGGACACGTGGCTGAGAAATCAAAGCCTTTCGAGTTGGAATGTTGTTTAGATTTTGGTTCGGAAGTACGAGATTGGTGAACTTTTTTTCGCAAATCTCCGGTGGCAAAATAGTATTTATTCCTGTTTAATTTTGAAATAACGTACTCCCTCCGTTTCCTTAAGATTTTCTCATTTTAACATTTTTGTAGGTTTTAAGGAAACTTAAAAAAATGTGGAAGTTTACCATAATACCCTTAATGAAAAATGGTGAAATGTATTAAATGAGGTGGGTGAGGTGTAATAAATAAAGTAAGTGAGGGTAGTTGTGGTATTTTAAAGATTAAAAAGGTAATGAGAAGATCTACGATGGATAAATAAAAAAGGCTAATGGAAAGATATATGAGGGACGGAGGGAGTAATACTTATTATGGACTATGTAGTGCGCATTTTTCACACATTTGTTCAATATAATTATAAGAATTATTTATGAATAGTGTAATATTCATTATGAATGAAATGGTACTTTCTCAAATAGTTTAGTGATCAATTTCAATTAACGTGCCATACGTTTCGAGCCACATATATGCAGTTCTACAATTCCATGTAACTAAAGTTTCTACACGTGTCTGCGAGTCTACAACTTCCCCAATATGTTAAGCACCTTCGTCTTTGAATGTAATGGGTCCATAGATGTCCCGACTTGGCAATTAGAAGAGCATCGGCAATGAACTAACATTCCTTCATCTGCGTGTGTGTCCTCTATGGCGAACACAATCAAAGCTTGGTGGCGAGGCTGTGCCCGTTCTTCCAGCGGCATCAATTCATGTTCCATCTCCTATGCAATTTCTGTTCCTCAATTCACCGGTTATACCAGAAATCTAGTACAATCGGTTGTACGATATAATCTACGAGCTAATCCATCCCAAATTAAATTTTCCCCATATAAAAAGATAAATGTTACTCATTTTCTTTTTTATTGGTACAGAGTATTACTTACTTATTTGATAAAATAATGTAGTCATGTCATGTTTTCTTTCGTAAAGATTTAAATGTAATTGTTTAATATGTACTCCGTATTATTTATATTTTATTCTGCCTCAATTCTCTAATAAATTGCATTGAAAATACTTCTCTCAAATATCGTAAGCTAAAACAAATGATTTGATTTGAGACAGAATGAGTATTTATCTGTATATTTTCATTGATCATTTGATAAAATAAAATATTTTTATCATTTCTAATTCGTTAACTTTTTATGTAGTTTTCAAGTCCATACAGAATAATTTTGTATTTCATTTCGAATGAATTTGCAAATAAAATGAATTTAAAAGTCATGATATGTTGCGCATTAAATGAATAGTGCAATTCATTTAGTAACATAAGAAGTACGGAGTATAATTTTACGGAGTACTCTAATTTTATATGAGTTGCTTTTATATAGGAAAGTTCATGTCATAATACTGTATGATATTGGCTCTAAGAATATCATTTAGCCATACTAACTAGCAGATCCAAGAAGGGCTTATGGTGGCAATGGCCCCCAATCAAATGTGTTTAGTTAGCATAAAAGAAGAAAAAAATGAGTTTTTAAACCCATTTCATGAAATACCTCTAATACGGGGTACCATACAACCATTAACTTCCGCCACTCGTCATTCTTCTTTTATTTCCCTACATATGATTACTCTTTGATGTCACATTTTTTTCTTTTTCTTTTTCATCACCCACTCTTATTATTTTCCTCCTTTCAATTATATGTGTGCCCCATATTTTTCCCTCATTTTTTATATTCACTTTTTTATCACTCTTTTTCAACATTGGATTATTTTTTAGAAAAACAGATCTATATTATTTAATTCAATTCTAAATTATTTTTAAAAAAATTAATTTAAACATGTTTTATTTCATTTCATTATATGATACTCCTTCCGTTTCTCAAAACGGTTCCTCTTTTGACTTTGGGGAAAAATAAGGAAATGTTAAATTGTAGTTGACTTTCCAATTTTGCCCTTGATGTGATGGGTAAAAGAAAGATAAGATAGTTTAATTGATAGTGAAAAAGTATGATGTGATACGTAGGGTATGAAAAAGTAGGGGTAAAAGTAGTTTTTTAATAGAAAGGGGAAATGTTTTAAAAAAACCAAAAAAATGAAAAAGAAAGGACTTTAAGAAAGGGAGGGAGTATTAAAATTACTCAATACGTGAGAAAGGAGAAATCAAAATATCCTCGCTAAGCTCAAACGTAGAGGTATTGCGCACACATATGTGACATGCAAAAATGCACTATGAAACTAGCACTAAAAAATACTCCCTCCGTCCCACTATATTCGTCCACTTTTGACTTTTGGAACTGTTCATCTAAGCAATTTGACTCATCAAATTTTCTCAATGTGTAAGCCTAAATATAGTCATGCGTGATCTTGTTTGATTTGTCTTAACATATAGATCATTAATATATAATTTTTTAATATACAAATTACAAGATAAAATGGATTAAAGAAGTATATTGGATGGTGTGCAAAAATGAAAGTGGACAAATATAGTGGGACGGAGGAAGTAACTTTGCTTCAATACTAGGAAACTCAATTCGTAGGAGGTTCACCAGCCCCACTAGAAGTTGACTCATTATGATTCACTATATGGAGAAAAATTTAATTTAAAAAATATATTGTATTGTAATAAAGTCAATAATATTAAAAAACTTAGCACTAAAAAAACGGGAGTAACTTTGAAAAATTTTAATCACTAGAAAATGAACAAATTAATAAATGTTGAGTATTTCTAATAAGTATTTCTAGAAAATGAACAAATTCATAAAAGTGGTACATACAAGTATAACAACGACGTAACTAATAAGCTACTGTATTATTTCTTCTTCCCTGCTGCAGCAGCACTCCCATCGAAAAGCTCATCAATAAACTTCTCCAGGTCTTCGCCCTGATACTTGACATACTTCTCCGTCTGCCTCCCCGGCGTGAAGGTCTGGCTAAACCTCGCCAGGAACGACCTGTACGCCGGGACAACCATGTTGCAGATGGAGACCCGGAGCTCCGACTGCAGCTGCTCGTCGCTCATCACCCAGCTGCTCTGCGCCTTGACTATGTCGTCGAACACCGAGTTGAAGCTCTTGAACCGCTCCTTCAACACCGGCTTGTTCACCTTCCCGTTGCTCCCCGTCGTCAGCCCCTCCGTCGCCAGGCACTGCAGCAGCCTCCCCCACGTCTCCCTCTGGTAGTTCTTGTGGTACTGCCGCAACTCCGCCGAGTTCTTCCGCACCCACCCGCTCGTTAGAACCGCGTTCATCCCCTCCGATCCCCGGACCTTCTGCATCACGTACCGCCCGTTGTTCATCATGAAGATCAAGCTCAACGACGGGTCCTTGTAGTGCTTCGACTTCGCCTCCAGGTTCGCGTTCAGGAGCTCCATCACCCTCGCGATCTGTTGCCCGAAGGGGGACAGGGGTTCTGCCCCTGTCTCCTCCGGGGGCGTCGCCGCTGCACGCTGGACGATGCGCTGGTGCTCCAGGAACACCTGCTCCAGCGTATCCTTGTAGCAGCACGCGCGCTCGACGGCGCTGACAATGGTGCGTGTTACCGGGTGAACCCCTCCCCCGGGGACGGGATTCTTCGTGGGGTCGGAGTTTATTGTGCTTTCGAGCTCCTGAATGATCCCGATTGCCATCTCCCCGAGGCGGCAACGGGTCAGCATGGCTTCGGCCTTGAGGTGCTCCATGAACTCGGGCCGAAGCAGAGCCGCCATTGTCGGGAGGAGGTCCCGGAGTGCCTCGTACATGTCTAGGAATTTGTAGAGCTTGTCTGGCGTGCTCTTTGTGACGGCGGCGACGGCGTTGGAGAAATCGAGGAGATGTGCGAGCGTGAAGCGGGACAGATCGTTTACGATGCTATCCGACATGGATGGGTAGTCCTCGAAAATGGCGGCGGAGAGCTTCTTCTCGGCCGTGAGGAGCTCCGCGGAGCAGTACTTGAACGTCCTTAACCACGCCACGATCTCCCTCTCTAGACAATCCCATCCCATCTTCTGCACCTCCTCCGCGCTCCGCCTCTCGAACCCTAGCCGGTGGAGGCTCTCCTCCACCGCAGCCTGGCGCGAGGCAAAGTACGCGTGCCAGCACTCGGCCTCGTATGCCCCGAACTTCATCGCCTTAGCCAATTTCTTCAGATTCAACAAGACGCTCTCCTCGTTGTTCTCCGAAACAACCTCTCCTTTCGTCCCGGTCTCAGGTTCGTCGCCCTCGCGACAAACCTGGAGGGCTTTGTAATCCTCAAGGCAGGATTTGAATTCCTCCTCGAGATGGGCCATGGCGCGCTGGAGGACGCCTCCAACGCGGCTGATGGAGAAAGCGTACTTGTACTCGGAGGAGAAATGGGAGAGCGATTTGGAGAGCTTGGAGAGGCGCTCCGCGGACTGGAGGAAGGACGACGCGGCGGCCTCGTCGTCCTTCATCAGGCTCCATTTCCCGGACCGGCGGTCGGAGTCGTCGATGGTCTCCTCGAGGAGAACGGCGAACTGCTCGACGCAGATTGGGACGTCGGGGGGCTTCGAGTCCACGACGTCCCGAGAGCCCCAGAGATTGAAGATGTATTGGTCGATGTCTTGGGATATTTTGAGGAGATCGGGGGGCAATGTGTTGTATTCTTCTCGATTGTTGATGTTGTTGCAATCATCATCGGTTGTTGTTTGGCTGTTGTGTTCTTCTTGTTGTTGTTCTTCGTCAAGGTTATTGTTATTGTCGTTGTCGCATTCTTTCTCGGTGTCCGCCATGGCGGCGACGTCGAGCTTTATATGATTGAATTGATTCCGATGATCGATCAAATTAATCAATCTGATCAGATTTGCATGGAACAAATGTATAAGAAAGTGGGGATTTGCATCATTATGCCTTTTTTGGGAATATCATTACCTCAATTTTTCTAACTTTTTTTTTTTTTTTTTGTTGTAGTTTCGGTTTTCTGGTTAAATTCAGAAGAGAAGAGTGAGGGCAAGAGAATAGTGCGAGCTTTTGACCATTTTTTGTGGAAGTGCTGCACCATAAATTGCGCCTACAAAAAATATACCCCCTCCATTGCATGATCTTTTCCTTTTTTTTCTTTAATTGAGTCAATTTAATTATATTCCGTTTAAAAAGTGTGTAAAATTAAACCAAAACATTACTCTTAGAAATTATTTAGAGAATATAAAATTGTTGTGAATCCTTTAGTTTATTTTATCAATTTTAATTTTCTATTCTATAGATCATATTTTATCTTATTATTATAAAGTAAGAGAAAAATAAATAAATAATACTCTCTTTGTCCCACAAAAAACTTTTCTCATTTTCTTTTTCTCAATTATATTAAAAAGTCACTTTTATCACTACTAATCCTTAACCTAACTATCGTTCACACTTTTTCACTCTTAATCTATCTATCACATTCTACTTTGAATCGTCACATCCAAATGTATTTTTTGAAAGTCAAGAGTACACCAAAATATACTCCCTTTAAATGCTTTAAAAGTCAAAACAAGAAAGATAATGTATGACAAGGAGAGTATCAAAATTACACATTTTTAAAACTCGTCTTTTTTCAATTAGGAAATATATTGTACGATGGAGAGAGTATATATAATTATTTTATTGAAGAGATAAAAATAAAAAAGCATAGAAAAAGTAATATCGAACCTAGTCTTTATTAATGAAATATATCGTACAAAGATAATGAAATGCAATATTTAGAAATCGTTATTTTAAACATTACACGATTTCAATCCACAAGTTTATTTGTCCAAATATAATTGTGCAGGACTCAATGGTGTCATTATAAAACAATCCAAAATATTTTATAGTATCACCACTTAACTTTCTATGGTGGAGCATGCTAGGGTGCCATCACATGAGTACTGCATTGAGTGCACCCATGCTTCGCACAGACAAACACAGACAATAATTATCTGTGTCGCACAGACAATTATCGTCTGTGTTTGTGTGTGCGAAGAATGGATACACCCATGTTAGCACCCATGTGGTGGCACCCTAACATTTTCCTTCTATATATGGTTCTGTAGGGATGCAACCTACCTCCCACGTTAGAGGAGCAAAAAGAATTGGACTTAATAAATATATTATATGATTACTCAATTTCATTACTATGTGACCTTTTTAGAGATGTTTAAACATAAATTGTGATGATATAACTCAGAGCGGACAATATCATACCAATGCATGATTGAGTAGAAGATACACGTACACGGTCCTATATGTGGTATCGGAGCACAAGTTCGTGCAGACAATGACAAAGGTGTGACCTTAAGTCGATTAATCACGGGTTAACCTATCAATAAGATGACCTAATCAATAATAAATATATGTTGACTCATTATTTACAAAATGTAAAGTTACAAATAAAATCTAATGGATGAAAGAAATTAAGATTTTTCAGGTGAGTTATCACGAATGAATCGGAATGGAAAACCATTGATTAGTACTTTATCTTTGTGATTTTTTTAAGGTTCAAATCCTACAAGATTCCATAAATTTACATCTCTAAAAGTCATTATAATTGACTACTTTTAAAGATAACATATTAAAAAATGCATTCCCCCCGCTCGTAGTATTTGTTTAATTTTGACTTTTTATAGTTAACCGGCCAAAAGCAGACTTTGACATATAATTATTTAAAAATTATATGATATATTAATTGATTAAAATAATATCTTGAAAATTTTATTCAATGCAATTAATCAGGAAAATTAATTTTCAAATATATAAATTTACCACATCTCTAACTCCAATACATCAACATTTATCTCACTAAATTCATTCTCATCTCAACCTCATTTCTCCCTCATTTCACTATCCAAACATGAATTCCGACGGTAACAGCTTCCCCTTCGAGCAATCCGACCTTAATGTTGTTATCATATTTACAAACTCTGCATTTTTCAAACCAATAGCCCCTACAAATACATCCGACATTGACATTTTTTTATGAGTTGGAGCCCACCATTGAGGGCATTAGCAAAAGGAAGACTAAAAAGAATGAATGACCGAAGAAGTACACCCTAATGGAAAAAGTCTGGCCATGGTATGGTCAAACATGATGGGAGAGATGCTTCGGAAACACAAGAGGCGTGTTCTCCTCGAAGATTAAAAGTTTGGTGGCTTGTGTGACAACGTCTCGAAGACGTTGCCTAGTGGGTCCACCGATAACGACATTCTCTTGAAGGTGTCAGACCTTTATTATCAAGCGAAAAAGAAGGCTTTCAAGTTCAAGGAGATCTAGAAATGTATGTAGAAGAGCCCCAAATTCAGCGCCGGGGTGGATGCTGGAGGGTCAAGACCAAATCGATCCAAACTCTTCAAGGGTACTTCATAGGTTTCATGTTGTATTCGTCTTATTCTTACAATCCTTTTTTTTTTATAGTTATTCATCTATTTTTATTAAAAAATAAATAATCTTATTAAATTTATTTAAATCTCCAATTAAAAATGATAAGTAATGTAAAAAAAAGCAAAGAGATAGGACGTGAGGACGACAACATTGCAGATATTTTGGGGTGATGTTGAAAAAGGAGGAATGCACATGAGCAGGACATGAGTTTGTCTGATTGTAAATGGTCTAAAGTCTAAGGACTTGTTTAAGAATAGTTTTAGAAATTGACATTAGCATTTTTGGATATAACTTTAACGGTACAAATTATTTTGAAAACACGAATGCTAAACATTGTTCGTAGATAATTTTTTCAAAACTCCATTGTTAATTAGAATTATGTGGGTTTGTGGGGTCTAACGTTATTCTCAAATAGACCCTAAATAGATTTGCTAATTAGAATTACGTGGGGTTGTGGGGTCTAAATTAGCATGTCTCTCTAACCAAGGGATGGGTGGGTAATTTTTTTATTTTTTATTTTATTTTATTATTGAAAAAGGGAAAAACACTCCCACTTTATCCATGTGAACCGGCGACGGGGAGAAAATAAGAAATGGACATGTCAATGTCTTGGAAGGACAAATGCTGACCAGTCGAGATGGGCCCACCTTCTCCAATAGTAAACTGCCACATCAGTTTGACCAACCTGTAAAGTTTCAACCCCCACGCCGAATCTCAATAAAGGAAAGGAAAGAAAAAAAAAACTCAAAAAGAAAACGCCACACACAAAACACTCACAATTCAACCCGGCCCTCTCCCTCTCCTCCAAACGCACCCTCCGCCCCATTGTGCCCCCCCTTGTCGTCGCACTCCAAGACTTCCCGTCGACGGGAGCTCGCCGGAATCTTCACTGGCGGCGATATTATCGCCGGAAAGTTCTTTACGGATTCCGCACACTCAGTTTGTCCCCGACTATGTTATCGTCCGTGGAGAATCTGTAATTGCATTTACACTTGAAGTTCCTCCGCTGGAGATTTGGGGGAAGAGCGAGGAACTGAGAGATGTACGTTGTTCCACCTCCGAAAGGGGCCGATCCACTGTCTGGATCCACCAACGGGTCGGACGATTTGCGGATTTACCAAACTTGGAAGGGAAGCAATGTCAGTTTTCTCTCTAACCACTGTTTTTTCTCCATCATTTTTATTAGTTCCCGTGTGCAAATTTCGCATTTGCTGACTTTTTACTGAAATATGCTCGCTTCTTATGTTAGTTGTTGAATTGGAATCTTTAGCTACTGCAGAGAACTGAATTGTGCTTTACTAATACTTCTCTTCTAATTAAAAGTAATCCCCGGATGCAAAGTGAAAACAAAGATTAAAGCTTCAACGGTTTTGGAGATGCAAAGAAACCCTACATTCAGCAATTTGATCAATTGATGTTATTATGATGTTATTTGTGTACATCCAGTCGCTATTCAAGTTCACCTAATCATTTTTTGAAAGCGATTGACACTATTACAAGTTAGTATCTGTTCATACTATTCTCAACTTAATGACGAACAAAGAACCAATGCTTCCACCTGAACCGGGTGAACTTCTCCATGAATACTAGGGAGTGGACTTCCTACCACTCAAGCCAGGGGAGAAGTTCACCTAACCTTTTTTTTTGTTGGTCAACTATCAAATATTTCAGTCCACATCCTAAACTATTTTTTCAAAGCCTCTTTCATTTTCTTTTTACAGTTTGTTTATTCCATTGGAGTTGTCTATCTTGTTATAGCTATTGGTTGTTATTGTCACGGTATGGCATCCACTTAACTGCATTTCTGTTAATGTTTTATGAACTTGCTTTTGTTTTTGCAGAGATTTTTTCTTCAAGGAAGGTTTATATTTGGACCGGATGCAAGATCACTAGTGCTGACCATTTTCCTTATAGTAGCTCCTGTTGCAGTTTTCTGTGTCTTTGTTGGTAGAAAGCTGTCAGATGATTTTCCAGATGACTGGGGAATCTCAATTATGGTTGTGGCAGTGGTGTTCACTTTTTATGTAAGCCCTTTATTCTACACTTGTTTTTCATCCACTACCTAAGACTGGATAAGTACCCCTATGCTGGCATTCCAAGTAGTGGTCAATTAAATCCAAACAGAGGGAGTGATAGTTAATGTCCCTTTGTGCACTGCACTTATATGCATCAGTCCATATCGTTTAAATGACTTTTTTTTGTACTGGCGATCGAGGCAGGATTATTCTAAATTCTTCTCACAGTTCAACTCTATCTTACCGACTAAGTAGGAACTGTATACAAGGTAGAAGGAATATTTTTCCTGCGATTTACTTGTGTTATGCAAAGCTCTGATGCCTTATATTCTTGTTCATGTATAGGACTAGTAGGTTATATTCTTCTCAAGTATTCCCCTTTAACTTTACAGCCATATGGGAAATCAGGTAATGGGACGATAAAGTGCATTGAGACAAAATTATACTCCCTCCGTCCCATGAAACATTTCCCGTTTCTTTTTTTATCCGTCCCACAAAACACTTCTCATTTCTATTAAAAAGTCACTTTTACCCCTTACTTTTTCATACCCTAACTATCACATCATACCTTTTTACTAATAATTTATCCATCAAATCATACTTTTACCCATCACATCAAAGGACATTTTTGGAAATTCAATACCAAAATACACTCTCTTAAATCCCTTCTAAAAAACAAATGTCCCATGTTTCATGGGACGGAGGGAGTACATTTTAGTAAATTGTTTCAATATGATATATACATCTTTGGTTTTTAAGAATCTTGATAGTCCTTAAGACAGCTCATTTTGATAGACATTCACGCTTCAAGATTCTTGAAATTGAAGGAACTACTAGTTGAAGAGTTTGCTTTCAAACTAGTTTGCATTTTA